GCTTACTTTTAACATTTGTGGGGGTTTTCTTGTTAGAGGAGAGTTGCTCAGAGGAGATAATGGAGGATTTTTTTATCATGGCTAAGATTTTTCAGCAGCCCCCACCCCCATAGTGAAAGGCCATTGCTCAGTGGTCGAATCTCTTCTTTGCATGCAGAAGGTCTCAGGTTCAGTTCCTGACCTCTCCAATTAATCTTGCAGAAGGTGATGGGAAAGACCTCTCCCTGAGACCCTGGAGAGCCACTGCCAGTCTGCGTACACAGTGCTGACCTTGAAGGACCAAAGATCCGACATAGTATAAGGCAGCTTTGTTGGGGGTTCAAGTCTTATTGGTATTAAAAATATATACTTTTTAATCTTTTAAATACTGCAATACAAATAGAGCCTCGTTATCATGCTCGTACTGAGGTCTTCTGACAACCATGTAACCTAGTCCAGTGTTTAGTCCATACTGCGGGCTGGGGTGGGGTCACAATCACGATCCTTGCCTACTTGATGGAGGCTGAAATTGAGAGTCCCTTTGTTGTTGTTCAGTCACACAGTCGAGTCCAACTCTTTGTGACCCCATGGACCACATCACGCCAGGCCCTCCTGTCTTCCAACATGCTCCAGAGTTTGCTCAATTTCATGTTCGTTGCATCTATGACACTGTCTAACCATCTCATCCTTTGCCGTCCCCGTCTTCTTTGACCTTCAGTCTTCCCAGCATCAGGGTCTTCTCCAGTGAGGGCTCCCTTCTCATTGGGTGGCCAAAGTATTTGAGCTTCAGTTTCATTATCTGGCCTTCCAGGGCACAGTCAGGGTTGATTTCTTTTAGGATTGACTGATTTGATTTTCTTGCAGTCCAAGGGGCTCTCAAGAGTCTTCTCCAGCACCATAGTTCAAAAGAATCTGAGAGTCCCTACAACTTACTAATAGAATTTTTAAAAACTGTCTGGTCTCAATATTAGTGAGTTACTGTATTCAGTGTATTCCTGTGCAGTAATGCAGACAGTAAAATAGCTGCATAATAGTATGTACTAATCTTTGAAATGAATGTTTTGCTAATGGTGTTTAAATCACCTGAAATTATCATGCTAAAAACATACTGCATGGCAAAAGATAACCCCACAAAGCCCAAGTCAAATGCAGCATAGTTAAGTAGGGCCCATTCCCCAAATTTTAAAACCAACTGAATGCAGGCACATGTTGTTGTTTTTTTAATTCTAGCAATGTAAAATTGAGAGCCCAAATAAAGCTGGATACCAAAATATTACTGTTTGCTTTTGATTTTTGTGTTCTGTCTCTGCAGACACAGCTGGGCTTCTTTTGGTTTTAAGAAAAATGGAAGAGTCATAGAATCCTGTCAGCTCTTTCACAGTCCGATTTCCCACAATTGCTGCTCCACGCTCGTTCTTCCCTTTTGCCCCGATGGTACGTGTCACCGCATTTTGCCCAGCAGCTTCGCATGATTTTCCCCGCGTCTACTCAATCCTGTTTTTTGAGGATTGAGTAGACGCGGGGGAAATCATGTGAAGCTCCCGGGGCAAAATGCGGCCACGCAACAGCTTGTGTGAAATTGACACATACCATCGGGGCAAAATGGAAGAGCGAGCGTGGAGCAGCGCTTGTGGGAAATCGGCCACTGTGTCTTACCTAATTTACCTCCCTGCTACAGACCCTGTCCCCTCTGCCTTTTGTCCATGGAGGTCCCATGATCCCCAGCATAGGCTTTTTGGTGGCCAAAGAGGGACACCTCCCGCCCTCGTTCAGTAGTACAAAAGCAGGTTGAATCCAACCCATGAACTATGGCACCTGGATTTTATTTTTATGGTAGACATAATTACAGAGAGACTTCCCAGGATTTGCTGGACTGCTTCACGACCCTAGAGCTTACCGGGACACTGGGCTATTTTTGGGCAGGAACACACAGGAACGGAGTTCCGGCTGGCTCCTGAATTGGCCACACCCAGCAGGAACTCATTAGCATAACAGGGCACACCCAACAGCAGAAACTCATTAGGATTGGCTACATTCGGGGTGTGTGGCCTAACATGCAAAGGGTTCCTGCTGCAAAAAAAGCCCTGGGTTTTGACAACAAATAAGGTAAACAGAATTAGAAGGGAAAGGTGGGTGTGGCTGGATGACCACACTTCTGGTGGCATGGGGGTGTAGCCTAATATGCTAATGTGCTATGCTGTCAGGGGTGTGGCCTACTATGCTAATGAGTTTCTGTTGGGTGTGGCCTGTTATGCTAATGAGTTCCTGCTGGGCTTTTTCTACAAAAAAAGCCCTGCCGGGACAGTGAAGATAGTAAGGGATTTAGTGTACTTCTCTTGAATGCTTAGTCAGTGGTGCATCTAGGAACCTTCCCCCCCAAAAAAACTGTATTTCAAATTCCTTCTGAAGACCTACACATGCTCTGAAGACTGATTTCTGCAGTACAGCTGAAGGATGTGCTGCACCGCATTATACTCAGGGGTGTGATGGGTTTAGAGGTGATGCGTAGCCAAGGTGAGAACTGTGCCCCAGCTCAGCTGTTGAGTGTGTAAGGGTAACTCAAGGAAATCAACTGGGGTGCTGGTGAGAGGAGAGAAGGGGGAAGGATGATGATGATGCTTTCGATTTATTAATCGCTTTCTCCACGAGTGGGCTCAAAGTGATTTACAGTTACACTTTTAGACAGGGGACTAACAATGTTTCATAGGGGATAGGAAAGACAACATATAATTTATTTTTAATTGCACACGCCGTAACTGCACTGTGGAAACATCTCTGGCTTGGATCAGTCATGTCCCGAATGGCTGCGTCGACCGGCTTGATGAGGTTGGGGCTTCCGGACCCGTATGTCGTCTCGCCACACTGCCACCGCCTGGCCGGGGCATCCCACTGCAGGGATTTTTCTTGTAGCCGAGTAGATTCTACCGCCTTCCACAGGACGTCCCAACCGACAGCTAATACCTTCCCACAGGGGAGTTGGTGTGCCCACCCTCTCTAAGGAGTGGCTCCCATTTTATCTACTCACCGAGGCTTTCGAATCGCTGGGTGGACGATGAGCTGGGGACAACAGGCTGGCTGCTCACACCAGCGCGGGGCTCGAACTGACACAGTTCGGATGTTAAGACAGTGGGATATACCCACTGTGCCACCGCTCCCCTTTTTGAAGGCAGTTTGTCATGAAAACTATACAGGAGCAGTCAGTGATCTCTCAGTGGTTGGGTAGGAACCCCAGTGTGCTGTTACGCCATCTGTATGAGTACACAGCAGTGGCTAAATGTAGTATAGATAGATATTTCTCAGGACAAGAAAACTCATTTCCAGCTCAAAATAGAAACACTACACTGAGTTCAGGTGTATATGTCTTTAAAGTAGAATCATAGAGTTGTGTGCATGTAAAAATAAATCCAAATCAGGTAACCTGCTTAGATTTTAAATTTTTTAAAAAATATATAAATGGTAAAAACAATTGAAAGTGGGGCCCGTGTTGGTGTTCAAGCTTAGCCCCATCCATAAACCAGCTGAAGACCATTCTAGGGTTAGACGTTCTGACCCAAGTCTCTTAGGGTCACAACTTATGTGATGTGGGATTTTCCAAAAAACCCCCCCCCACCGAGCTGTTGCTTGGAGCAGCTGACTTGATTAGGGAAATGAGTCTGAGGAATCGATTGTCTAACTTTCTCCTTGTACAGTTTCAGAGTGGATAGTGGGGTATTTAGATCAGGGGAGCAGCACCATTTCCCGATCAAAATGTGCAGCACTGCAAAGCTGCTTTGAAGTAAAGAAAATAGCTGTCTGATTTACATCCGCTTTGTCCCTTGAGTTTCAGTTTCCATGGAAACAGATATGCATTGACAGGCAGATGCTAAGCAAAGAGCCTGAATAATTGGAGAAGCAAATGTAAAGTAGTTATAATCTTATCTATATTTATAATGCTTTATTGAGTAGTTAATGCTGTGCTCTGTGTAGCATGTGGCAGGATGATCTTTTCCTGATCATAGACACTCCAGCTTCCCTAATTTGTATTTCATCTTTGCAAAGCTGAGATGGGAACATGAAGGCCATATGTGCAATAGATACATAAAAGGTAAAGGTTCCCTTGCTCGAAAGCCAGTCGAATCCGACTCTAGGGTTGCGGTGCTCATCTCCATTTCCAAGCCGAAGAGGCAGCGCTGTCCGAAGACATTTCCGTGGTCATGTGGCCAGCATGACTAAACACCAAGGCGCACAGAATGCTGTTCCCTTCCCCCCGAAGTGGTCCCTATTTATCTACTTGCAATTTCTTGCTTTCGCACTGCTAGGTTGGCAGGAGCTGGAACGAGAGACGGGAGCTCACTCCGTCATGCAGCGCACTCGGGTCTCGAACTGCTGAACTACTGACCTTACAGAGCCTGCAGTTCAGCGTCTTAACCACTTGAGCCACCACAGCTCAAGTGGTTAAGATACTTACCAGCATGAATTTGAGGACACACCAGAGAGAAACCCAGTGTGATGTCGAGAAGGCTGGAGATATTGCCAAAGGGCATCTGGCTTTTTATTCTCAGTACTGGGCAGAAGAGAGAATGTTTTCTTAGTCTTCATTGGCCAATGTTACTCTTAATTTTTAGATGGGATGAAAGGAGCAGGGCACTCACAATGTACTGGAAAGTATTTCCTTATGTCGTCTTAAAAAGGTAAAGGTTCCCTTGCTCGAAAGCCAGTCGAATCCGACTCTAGGGTTGCGGTGCTCATCTCCGTTTCAAAGCCGAAGAGCCAGCGCTGTCCGAAGACGTTTCCGTGGTCATGTGGCCGGCGTGACTAAACACCAAGGCGCACGGAACGCTGTTCCCTTCCCACCGAAGTGGTACCTATTTATCTACTTGCAATTTCTTGCTTTCTAACTGCTAGGTCGTCTTAAGTCCCCACAAACCCACTGAGAGTGTGCTGTCTGCTTATCATTAGGTATTGGGGGTATGAAAAACACTCTTCTCTGTATCAATTAGCATTATTTCATTTTCAAATCATCACATTTACAGAACAAAGGAATGAAATTGAGTTACATAATTTATTTCCATATCAACACAGTTGAGAGACAGAAAGCATTATTCAGGCTAGTGAAATGTCAGTTCCTTCTGAAAATCATTAATTTTTGTCTTCTCAGAACTGTTGAAACATAAGCTTTGTCATTTTAGCTGTAAACCAAAGTTTTAAGAGTAACTGAATCATAACCCTAGTTCTAGCTGAGCAGCACGAAATTTAGTAGCAATTTAGTTTGGAACAAGCCTTTCAAAAATCCCAATAACTAATTATTATTGTTTTATGCCAGGAGCAAGACTCCTGGTAGCCAGTAGTTGACTTCTGTAATATGCTGTTCATAAAGGTTGCCCTTAAAACAACTTGGACATTTCTGAATGTGGTTGCAGGATTTCATCAGGAGCACAACACACCATTGTTACACAAACTCCATTGGTTGCTCATTTACCAGGTGCCGGTTTGGATCTTTCAAAGCTGTCAGTGTCCTGGGTCCGCCTGATGTAGGGAACACCTTTTCCAGCATCATCCTGTGAGGTGGTACACAGGAGACATGTTGCTTTGAGTACCACCATTTTTGAAGCAAGTTTTTAGTTACTGGCAATGTCTCTTCAGGTTACTATTTTTTCACTTGGATGTTTAAAAATGTAACTAATCTAGTTATCCAGACCAGCCATCTTATTTTCCCTGACTTTCTTTGGCTATCATGTTCTGTCTACTTATACGTAAGGTTTGAGGAAGTCTGTTTCAGTGTATCTGAAGAAGGGTGCATGCACATGAAAGTTTATACCCAGAACTAAACTTGGTTGGTCTTAAAGGTGCCACTGCACTCAAACTGTATTCTGAAGAGTGTTTTGGAACTTGAAAGTTCACTTTGGATGGTGCCACTGGACTCAAACTGTATTCTGAAGAGTGATTTAGAACTTGAAAGTTCACTTTAGATTTCCATCAGGAAGTTGGTTGGCTGTAGTTATATGCCATAATCTTGCCTTGTTAATGAAAAGAGTACAACCTCATCGACCTCATCAACGTAGCCCTTTTAGTGCTGAAAGGGGGTTATGATTCCAAAACTATTCCTTGAAGTGGATTTTGGAATTGCCGGGCAAGAAATGCACTCAAAATGTTCACTGTTTTGGGCATTTTACATTTAATAATGCCAATTCTGACAAATATTTTGCCATGTGTTGGCTGCCACAGTGGATTGCATATGCAGTGGAGCATTTGTACCAGTCATATCAGCATTTTGATTTATTAGCTTACCCTAAATTTAAAACGATGAGATGGTTAGACAGTGTCAAGACTCATAGATGCAACAAACATGAAATTGAGCCAACTTCAGAGGCCGGCGGAAGACAGGAAGGCCTGGCATGATCTGGTCTGTGGGGTCGCAAAGAGTCGGAATCGACTGTGCGACTGAACAACAGCAACAACAAAAATGTAAAAAGTTCAAGGACAAACAGTGCAGTGCTTTGCAGTTTACTGCCGGGTTGAACTTGGGTGATACTAATAGAATTCTGTTAACTTTTCCATGTTTTTTTCCCTTCCATTTAAAGGAAGTGATATGGTGGCATCAACGCTCTTGGAAATGAAACCTAATGTACTTCCTGTTATATCTAGTAATGAAGGAATGGTAATAACCGATAGCAAGAAGAGGGAAAATGTGTTAAAGAAAAAATGTCTGTACCATTTCCAAGATGCTGTTATGGACACTAGCAAAGTTGTTATGGCAACTTCTTCGGCAACCTCCTCAGTCTCCTGCACACCTACTACAGTTCAGTCAAGCAACAACCAGTTTAAAGTTTCATCTAAAAGAGTATCATCACTAGGTAAAGCCTTTTTCTGCTTAGTTGGTAGAATTATCTCCCCCCCATTTGAACTGGAATTTAATAAAGTACAGCATTTGTGACTCACTGACAGTATTTTATCTTTCCTCTCATCCTGCAAAATGTATTTGGGTCACATGGAAATGTTCAGCTTCAATGGTAAAGTTGTTTTGTAAAAATACCAGTTTTCACTTCGATGTCAGTGTTCAAGGAAGATAGCACACTAGAGGCCATTTAATATCTCTTCTGCCTTTCCTTTAACAATGCATGCGAGAACTGTGCTAATTTTCAAATTTCAAATGTCCAGTCCTGTCCTGAACATGCACATCACCTGATTCTGGTATTTCTACCTTCAGTGCAGACACAGTGCATTTTCCTTCTTCCTTTGAAAATTTGTCAGTCAGTCAAAACCTTTATTGGCAGAGATTGGGGGGGGGGGAAACCATAGGAACCACAGATTTTAAATATACAAAGACAGTAATCCTACTAGAGCTTTAACCTTATATTCTCGAACCCTCATAGCAATAGAGAGAAACTTCACCACTGCAAAGGTGATATGAGGGCAGAGATCTGATAGAAGGAAGGATACTAGTCTCTCTTCTGGACAACTGTGCCTGTTGATCAAAAGGGGGCTGATTAGGACATCCTGTATTTTATCATAGAATTCACAACTAAGCAAGATGTGGGTAATTGATTCTGTTTTCCTACTGCTACATAGACCCGTCCTTTCAAGGTAAACTTTTGTGGATAAAATGGTCTTCAAGCTAGCAGCATAGAATTTCACTTGGATGCTTGAAGTGTTCAGCAGAGATTCTGCAGAGCAAACAAGGGAAATACCGAAGCCCAAATGTTCAAGTAAGGGTATAATTAGATGAGCACTTAGGGATCATGATGACGAGTTTATTTGCCTGAAATCATGTAATTGCAAAAAAGGATTCACAGAAGAAAGCAGTGTATGCATAGATATTCTGTCGGTTAACCAATGGATTGACCAGTTTAGGGAAATCCCTAGTTATATGCTTAGAATTTTATGGAAAACTTAGGTGGTCACATTACAGGAAACAGCAATATATTGCTCGAGTGTAGGTTTCCCCCCAGGTGGTACAACTAAAAGTATTGTTCCAAGAGTCACAGAGTTGTCCAAATCAGACAGTAAATAACAGATCTTTTCAGAACCCAGTAATTCCTGGTTCATAATTTGGGATCAGTACTCAGTCGGACGCTTTTTTTGTTTATATTAATGATTTGGAGTTGGGAGTAAGCAGTGAAGTGGCTAAATTTGCAGATGACACGAAGTTGTTCAGGGTGGTGAGAACCAGGGAGGATTGTGAGGGATCTGTTGATCTGTTGAGGATGGGCGAGTGGGCATCAGTGTGGCAAATGGGGCTCAGTGTGGCCAAGTGCAAAGTGATGCACATTGGAGCCAAAAATCCTAACTATAAATACACATTTATGGGGCCCGAACTAGCAGAGACTGAGCAAGAGAGAGACCTTGGAGTCATAGTAGATAACTCACTGAAAATGTCTAGACAGTGTGCGACTGCAATAAAAAAGGCCAACGCTATGCTCAGGATTATTAGGAAGTGAACTGAAAACAAATCAGCCAGTATCATAAATCAATGTATAAATCGATGGTGTGACCTCATTTGGAGTACTGGTCACCTCAAAAAGGATATTATAGCATTGGAAAAAGTGCAGAAAAGGGCAACTAGAATAGGGTTGGAACACTTTCCCTATGAAGAAAGGTTAAAGTGCTTGGGGCTCTTTAGCTTGGAGAAACGACGACTGAGGGGTGACATGATTGAGGTTTATAAGATTATGCATGGGGTAGAGCAGGTCGAGAAACAAGTACTTTTCTCCCTTTCTCACAATACAAGAACTTGTGGGCACTCGATGCAATTGCTGAGCAGTCCTGTTAGAACAGACAAAAGGAAGTACTTCTTCACCCAAAGAGTGATTAACACATGGAATTCACTGCCACAGGA